ATATATATTATATATATATATATATATATATATATATATGGGGGGGGGGGTGTCTGTGTGTGTGGGTGGGTGTCTGTGTGTGTGTGTGGGTGTCTGTGTGTGTGTGAGTGTGTCTGTGTGTGTGGGTGGGTGTCTGTGTGTGTGAGTGTGTCTGTGGTGGGTGTGTGGGTGTGTGGGTGTGTGGGGTGTGTGTGGTGTGGGGTGTGTGGGCATGTGGGTGTCTGTCTGTGTGTGGTGTGTGTGGGTGTGTGAGAGAGAGAGAGAGAGAAGACTAAATAGACAAGATTAAAAGATATTAAGTGAGCATATATCAGTTAGAGTGAGTGTGCAAGTATGTTGGCATGCAATAGTATTATTTGTCCCATTCCATCGCCCTATACATTAACCACTGCACTGGCGCACAATAGGTTTTAACCACCAATTCCTTGCCAAATCACCCTTCTTCTCACAGAGATGTCTTGAAAGCCCTCCTCCATGAAAATTTGTCCTTACACCATATAATAAATCTAATCACTCAAGTATGCATAATACTACAAAATCACTTGTAGTTAGACTTTTGTTACAAAAAAAATGAGTGTAATCAAATCTTTAGGCTCACCATTTCTGCTCAAAACCTGGACACAAGAAACCTCAATTGCTATCTATTAATACTATTAATGGTTTATAATGCTTACCTTTCTTTATTTTGCTCTGTATCCTCTTTTGTCTTTTTCGAACGGGAATGATTCCTGAATCTCCAGCTGGAAAAGAATATAAAAAGTAAATAAACACATGAATGTAAATTGCACAGCATAGATCCAATTTACTTCTTTTATGCTGAAATTCCCACACCCAACAACCTTCTTTCTAAGACTCGAATTTTTCATCATTTATTACAGCCAATTTATAAGGTACACAAAGCTAAAAGAATTATTAAAAAATCTGTATTTATCTGCACGGTAAAAAATCTCTTTTTCCTTTACAAGTTCTCTGAATCTTCCAGCATTATCAAACAGCTGAAGGCCAATTATACTTCAAATTATGAAACTTGATAGATTACTACTCACCATTCTTGACGTTCCAGTCTTCATCATCATCCATTTCCTCATTGTCGTCTTCCTCCTGAGCATCAAGTCCAGGAGTAAATTCCTCATCATCCAAATCTGTGGCTGCTTGTAAGCCTAAGTCATCTGCATCATCTTCCAAATCGTCTATTTCCTCTTTCTTTACTTTTGCCAGTGGAAGCTTTCTCTTCCATACCTTGGGAGTGATCTCTCTTACACCTGACACTGGAGCTTCCTGTGAAATCAAACATATGCAACTTAATTAAATAAATAAAACACAAATTTAAAGAGCCTTTATTAGATGTTTTAAAGATTTTACTCCTTTGCAAAACAAAACAAAAAACAATTAACAAAGATTAAAAAAGATATATACTCACAACTTCAGGATGAATCATATTTTCTATTTCCACTTCTTCAAGGTCTTCCTGACTAGAGACTAGAACTATACCTTTAGAACTCTGGAAAAGAAAAGATAAAAATTTAGCTACACAAAAAAGGAAGATAAAAGTACTATCAAATTGATGAACTAAAAAAGTAAGCCATTAAGCTGCTGTTTCAGATTATGTATACATTAAGCCATAATACATTTTCTTGTCTACCACGGATTCTAACTAGAACCAAATTTGAATTATCAAGATAGTGGTTTACTCTGGATAACTTTTCTTAAATCAGTATTGCAACAGAGTAAAGCAGAAGTAATAAAAAAATTATAAGTGATAAGTCTACAATTCTTCTGATCATCCTCTAGAAATATGCTGCACTCACTTCTAATTCATCTCGTTCACCACCACAGAGGAGTTGTAGGAAATTTGTTGCATGGGTGGATGTTTCTATATTACTCAACACCTGCTTGATACATGCTGCTACCTGAGGGTCACACAGCTCCCTCTCAATCTGGGGTAAACAGTCTGCCAAAAGCTCCTCCAATCTGCAATGAAAAAACTATTTTGTAATCGATAATGCTACCTACAATACTGTGTTTAGCAACGGTAAACCATATCACGTAATATTACATTATATATCTGATATTTCAAGGGTGTTGAGGTACCAGCTTTTGTAGCACTGAAATGCACAGAAGTTCTAACACCTCAAACCTATGGGAGGTATTCAAAGCTTATAAAGAATACTATATCAACTTCATCTGGTTAACACTGTCCTTGAAATTTCAGAAAATATAAGCCCTCTTGCTTGTTCTTTGTATCTTATCTTCTGAATTTAAACAAATGTTCTGCAACAAGAAACTATACTTTTCATTGTTTTTCAACAAAGCCTAAATCTTAAAAATAATAAAACAAGCACAAATAAACACACCCCACACATGCACTCCTGAATGCCCACCCAGATAGTAACTGGTTGAAACTAAAGACAATATCATATATGATGCATGTAAAAATTCCACCTGTTTTTGACAGGCTGTGCACAATTATGGTGAACAGAACTTTAGGAGGTTAAGCTCATAACACAAGTATTATCTCACCTTTCCCAATCAACACTTGAACAGCTGGGACAGGTGGGAAGAGGTTCTGCAGTTAGATTACACTGAACTTTCACTTCACGCAAAGGCTGTCTTGTGTTGAACTGCGCATAGCATCCTGCAGAAGAAATATGCAAAATTAAAATCATAAGGTTTCATAAATATAAAATTAATCCCTACTTTTGTTACAACACAAGGATATTCTATTTGTTCAAAAAACTTTGGCAATATCATGGATATCTGCCGTTAATTCCAAAATTGGTACAATATGACAAAGAGAAGCAAGTCATACATTATGTTACTTCAACACAAATATATGCAATAATCAATTATATGCAATAAAATCTCTCAAACTCACTGTCTGTGTGCAAATATCTCTAATCCTGGGAGGCCTTCCTTTTGGCTTGGGCGGAGGAAATCTCAGCTGACTGGGCTGGCTCACATTCTCTCCGTAATCTTCTGGTTCACTCTCACAGGTATTCATCTCTTCCAATTCCTCTGCTTCACCTGGTCTTTCATTTTCTTTGTCTTCTTTCTTGATACTCGAAAGTAGCTGTTTCCTTCTCCGTCCAGCCAGACCGCCTGAAGGCTGTATCGAAGCCCCTGGACTACTTTCTAGGCTTATTTCTTCTTCTTCCTGTGGTTCTGACTTGATGAATGGAATTCTGTAGGAATGAACAGTGCATTTACTCTCTTGGCCAAAAAAAGAGATAAGCATAGTGCTAAGAAAACTTTCTGATAGCATGATACAGACTGAAAAACAAATACTTACAACTCTGCCCAGTCGTAGTTCTTGTTGGGTTTTGGCGTTCTTTTGGGCCTTCCACTGGCTAAACCCATCTTGATTTCTCAGCTTCTTCCGCTAAAAGCTGATAAAAACATAAATCAATGCAGTATTCAATGGCACACACACTATAAAACTAAACAATCTTTGCATTTTTTCCATAATTGGAACAATATAAATATCTTCTCAAGGTAATTGTGTGTTCATCAACAAGAAAAACACTAAGGGATTTATAAAGACAGTGATTGAGGAAAAGGACAGATGATGAAAAGATGAGTTTGATAAAAAAATATATATATATAACAGTTCATAAAAACTCTCAAATACATACCATATCACAGGTTTTTTCTTTCTGGTTTTTCCTTTGGTTTTTGTTAACTTGGTAGGGCTGAGTAAAATGTAAACTGCACACATATAACTGGGAACTCTTCTTGCTGTGTCTGAAAAGTAAAAAGAAAAGATTCATAATTTTAATATAATAAAAGGAGTAAATAATAAATTATAAATTATAAATAATAATAAATAATAAATAATAAATAATAAATAATAAATAATATAATAATAAGAAATAATAAATAATAAAAAAAATTTTAATTTTAATAACTAAATAAATTTAATAATAAAGAATAAATAATTCATAATGTAATAATAAATAATGAATAAATAATAATAAAATTAATAATAATAATTTATAATAATAAATATTTAATACATAAAATAATAATAATAATTTTATAATTAATAATTTAATAATAAAACCTTTGTGTCCTTCAAATATTCCATACACTAAATTTCTTGTAATAACTATAATAATGGAATCCTACATAAAGATATTGGATGAGAATCTTCCATAATTCAAATGCAATTTATGAACATAGGCCTAATATGACAAATTATTATAATGTAATATAATATATATATATTATATTATTATAAATAATATTATAATATAATAATATATATATATAAGGTTTTCACTTACTGGATATGTCAAGCATCTGAGTCCAAAGTTTTCTATGCTTTTCATCACTGGGAACAGGGATGTAGGTTACACTGGATTCTGTTCTGTCCGATCTTGACTCACAATCTTCGATACAACACTCTTCTTTATCACATTTGCAGACCCCTGAGAAGTGGTAAAACTTAGTGATGGCACATATACTACTGCTGTCTTTCAGGTAAAGTTTTTGAAATCAAATAGTTCTTTCATATAAACAGCCAAATACTACGAAATCATGAATAGCGAATGCAGTCACTAATAATCATCGTCATCATCATCATCACCATTATCATAGTCATCATAACAATCATCATAATAATTATCATCATAACAATCATCATAATCATTATCATAAACATAATAATCATAATCATATTAACTGTAGTCTCATAATAATGAATGCTGTCAATAATATTAATAATGAAGATGATAATATCAACAATAATAAATAAAGATAATTACAATGATGATAAGAAATACCACATTGACTTTTGACATGTACAACCAGTATCACAGAAAAAAAAAAAGAAAAAAAAAATCACTGCACTCTTTATCCTTCTTCAGCATTACCTTCTCTGAATAATTTTCCCCTTGACTGTCTTGAGGTTGAGAGTCGCTAGGGTAGCTCTCTTGGACCCCTCGGAACCCCCTCCAGTGTCTTCTCTCACTGGTCTGAAGTGAACTGTTTGGGTCTCGCAGTCAAAGTTTTTCACTGTTTGACTCTCTTCTGCATCTTAAGAATACCTGATGTGAGAAGAAAATATAGTATAATTCTCTGTTCAAATATATGGAAAAAAAATAATAATAATTTTCATACAACTAGAGATATTTTCAAAACTTTTATTGTCCTTAATGCAAAATACTAATAAAAGTCACAATATTAAAGATGATAAATCCTAAATTTTTTGAGGCCCAGGAATGTTTAACTGGCAGACATGCTTGCTTAACTTCCAATTTTGAAATACCATGCATGATGTATCCCATCAACTTGCTATTACCTATGTTGCATCAACCACATTACCTGTGTTGCATCAAGGGTCTCTGCTGCATCCCCTCTCCACATGGTGCCCCGGCTAATAGTTCCATCCTCTTGGACTTCCACCTGAGACACTTCACTGGTGTCTTCCTCCTCACCCTCATCTAAGTTTGAAGTGTCTAATCTTGTGAAGTCATCTTTTGTTAGTGTTAGTATTGCTGGAGTATCCGGAACATCACTGGAACTTCTGTCTTCTCTTGCTACACTGCTGGATCCTAATAAAAGTAATTATGATAAAAATTATATAATCTCATTCTGACTAATGGGTGCTTATTTAAGTCATATAATGCAAAAGAATTTTTCCAAGTTATGAAGTACACAAATTGGTGGAATTAGGATGGTATGAGGGGAAGGGAAAAATACGAGACTGAATGAAGGAAGAGAGAAGTGAAGAACAGAGACAAAAAATACATATATACATACTGTTATCTTCATCCTGTAGTTCCTCCACTTTCCTTTTGTGGGCTCTTCTATTGTGTCCACTCATTGTACAAAATCTTGTATTTTTTCTACTATCAATTCTGAAATGAGACAACATATTGCTTCATTGAAAAAGGGAATGGCACAAGTGACACTGGTGCCTTTGTTCTATCTAAATTCACTTGAAGTTTGCTTAGATCTGTACCAGAAGGCCTACAGTCTCATGCCCAACCTGACAGGAGTACAGTTCTAAATGTACTTCTAGCTAAGGGCAAAACTTCATCACATATACTATAGAAACAGAAACTCTTTAAAGATTGTACTGATGCTTTATCTGATGTTACATTGCCAGGGAGATTTAGCAGCTTTTGAAACCTTTAACCTTTTGCTCAATGGACAATGCTAGTAACATAAAAACAAATAAATTACTGGGTATAAAGTATAAAAAGCAGAACTTATCTAACAATCTCTAATCAAAGCCTAAAAGTCTATGCTTGCAAGGTAGAATAGGGCTCAAAGATCTTGGCAATTTATCAAATAAGGCACCAGTCCATGCACTCTCCTTTCAAACACATTGAGTGCTTAAAAAAGAGGTTAGGATATTCTGGATCATTATCAAATATAATTTAAAAAGTGTAAAATAATGTAGTAATGCATGGGACAATCTTTTTTAATATGCACAACTGCAGCAATGAACTTCCTTTTAAATAATCACATGCTACCATTTGCGTAATAGGTAAGTTTCTCCACAGCAAAGTAAAGTTTCGCCATTTATGGTTAAAATCAGTGTGTAAGTAATCTCCCGCCAGTTGCAATAATAAATTTGCATTATTTTTTATTGATACAGTTTAATGATCGTTTCATCATACTGTGCATTTTATGGGAAAGTTGAGTATCGAATAAGATCCGTAACAGAGACTAGTCTATTTATTTTTTAAAGGCCACGGATACGTCCATAAAATCATAAACCACTTGGAAATTTTGTGGACCCTAAAGACTCAACTGTCCATACACAGACAATAGAATTGTGGAGGGACTTTAAAGAATCGACGAAGATTTTTTAAAAATCAAGCTCCTAGCCAATCACAGTTTCAGCAAATGACATCATGTTTCTCTAACCAATCATAACTCAAGTTTTGCAGGTACCTATGCATTCAACAAAGGTAGCTTCAGTCTGTAACTTGCCAGTCAGGATGGAGGAGGTCTATTTGGTGGAAAGATTCACTAAGAAGCCACTTGGTATGGCCCTAGATGCTTTTCTTTAAAACACAATTAAGCCATAAAGGAAAGTGCGTCGTGTTAAGCAAAAGAATTTATTGCAAAGAATTTATTTAATATTCATAATCGTGAATCACGAACTGGCTAACGATATTTTGTCACACAAAATAAAGAGTTTACGGGAGAAATGGTAAGAGGCCAACATGATATATTATTAGCTTTTTCATTTACAACACAATCTTCTGTAAACTAACTGTTATCCTAATAAAGTTAATGCAACAATATTTTGAAGACCACATTTAGACCATTCTCACATCACGTCCACGGCAGACAGCTAGAAACCGTTAAGAATCATTAAGACCTCCATAATCATTTCATATTACTGGTTCTCAAACCCCAAACCTAACCTTGCCTAGCTTCTATTTCTTCCTAGACAGGGGGCAAGGCCTGCTGCTCCCCCCCCTTTTAATAGCACTTCCTGCCAACTTGTAGAAAAGGGACATTAAGAACTCAGGCCATTGAGCAGTGATATGCAGTGGATATTTACGTCATTTTGCAGTAAATATGAGGTCCCTGCAGCTATACCTGTGTTTCACTACATTTCTTATGCTCTATATATCACAACTATAGAAAAAAAAATTAAATGCAGCTGCACAAGGGTATATTGTTTTGAAGTTATTATATTGAGACTATGGTGGTCCGGGGCCAGAGTCCCCAGAAGGGTAATATGGTGATCAGGAGGAGCTCTGAGGCAAAGCCCCCGGGTTAGGAAGGTTTTTGGTTCACATGGCTATTTTTCTAATTGTTTTTGCATTTATGATAGGGTGCACTTTCTCATTCATTCACACAATGCAGTGTCGAATCTTCCATGGCTGAATCTTGTCTCGAGGTTTTCTATTTTCCACTTTCCTTATCATATGGAATACGATAATTGGCTTGGGATTTTTTTTCCACTTTCTTTTGTTCTTTAATATGCCTGCAATGAGCGAAATTCCGCCCTAACCCCCGATTTCCCACAGGATTTTTCTTTGGAAAATAGATGCATTTGTCTTAGAAATAATTATGACGGCTCTCAATTTTCAATCTAATGTTGGTGCTTTTAGAAGTGTGAACGTGGCAGAGAAGAAAAGATTAAATATGATTTAGTAACCTCAAAGATTAAATTTTTCTGAAGAGATTTTCCGAATCATTGGAAATAGCAAAAAAGCACACTTTTGGGGGACATATGCAGGTTTGTTTAGATTAATGAACCTCAATAAAGGATAACAGTATATATACATTATTAGATTTTATTAATTTATCTTTTCATGACAGAGTAATAATAAATGACCATGAACAACAAATGGCTTAAGGGGACCGTCCCGGAAAATGACCACCTTTCCCTACTCATTACATCATAAAAAAATATCAGTTAGAGATAACTGATTGATTCTTTTTGCATGATATAGAGTATAGAATTGCGTTTCATATATAATTTTAGCCTCGCTCTCCCATAGGAGGGGGTACCCCCTCAAATAGTCGCAAAAAATTGTTTTTTTTCTTCGTCTTCGGTACATCCTAACAGTTCTTTACTTAATAGTCCCCAAAAAATACTTGTGTTAGATCCACCCTAGCCTAAGGCCATGTAAATGGCCGATTTTTGAATTTCCTTTTTTTTTTTTTTTTCTTGGCGGGGGACTGCTTGACATAAGAGTACTTTTTTGGTTTGCATTTTCAGCATTAAAAAATTTATATTTTTTTATTTCGGCCAAAATTCAAAAATCAGCTATTTACACAGCCTTAGGACTCCGAGGCTCTAGTGTTATTGTTGTTGTTCATAAAAGTAGATATTTTCGTCTGAAAAGTTTAATAAAAGCATTTTACCAAAGAAACAACTAATCTAAACCAGATAAAAACCTTTTTTTCAATTTTCATTTTATTTTGTTTTATTTTTTCAATTTTGAAGAAATGGGAAACTGTGGATGGCATTAGTACAAAATCATCCTAATCATAAAGTCCTAGCATGAATACATGGTGGTTCAATTTTCCATTTATCATGAATTCATCTACCACATTAAAAGTGACTAAGTTATTATATAGTTAACCCCAAGCTGCTGGGCATGGCATGTACATACATGCCATTGCCCGTTGTGTGTGTTGAATTTAGTAATTGCTTTTACATTAAGATGGCTCCACAAGTACAGTCACCAATGAGCCAATTACACGAACTACCTGTCTCACCTGTTTACCCTTTTCCTTGATTTTTTATATTTTCTAGTTTTTAATAGTGCTGTTAGTAATGTCAGTAATAATATAGTAATTATAATGTGTATAACAAAAATAATAGTGTCAATATTAATAGCATTCGTAGAAAAAAAAAAAAAAAAAAAAGTGTTTTCCTGCTTTTTCAGGGAGGTGAGGTCACAAGATCTACTAATTGACTCCTTTGTGGCTAAGCTTCAGCAAAGCCATCTATGTGCAGAATCATTTAACCAAACATTGCCAAAGGGGACGCACCATTTTCCCGTTAACAATATAATTTTGTCGCAAGGTTGAAGCATGGTTCACACCCCAAAGAGTTTAATATAAAGCTTTACTAACAGTTTTTACGATATATATTATTTCTCGTTAATCACCTACATTATTTTGTTGTGCATATTATGAAATCTTCACAAAATTTCTTGAATGTTTTTCAACAGATTGTTCAGAAACATGAAAACAACGGTCAATATGCATAACAGGGTAGGGGCTTACTTTCGAACTAATTTTGATATTTATCTGCATGAAATCTACTGATTTCAACGATTCTTGATGTTGTTTCTTGTGCAAATGCTTCGTTGATGAGATCTGAGTACCACTTCCATCGACAATCTTAATTTGTCAGTCCCGTTAGTAGGGGAGGGCATGAAGTATATCAGGGAAATTATGGGGTAAAACAAGCTTAAATAAGAAGAATAACGATCAAAAATGCGTAAAACTAGCACAAAAAGCGCTTAAAATCGGCCAATGAAACTCTACGGATGTAACCGCCATCGTTGAAAGTCTACGCACCGGCGCGCCAAAATTCGAAAAACTCTACGGGAATACAACGCATCTTTCGGTAAAATCAACGGGATTACACACCTTTCAAGCACCAAAAAACGTCCTAACCCATAACCCAACCTAACCTAGCAATTTACGGTGCCGTGACTAGGCGTGCCCTTCGGGCACTGCCCGAGGGGAGGGTTGATGGGGGCAAGCCCCCCAACACCCCCCGGGACACATTCTCTTCACCTCGGTATGTACGGCAAGATAGAGCTGCATCCATACTGTAAACAATAAACCAAATACCTTTATATATCGAAAGACAGAACTGTCAATTTTCCTTCGCTTCTTTCGGTCGGGTGGATCGTGGGTCGCTTCGTTTTTATCGCTTTTTTCGGGATTTGGGTACTTGATGCCCTTAGAAATGGAACTGCGATAGTTATTGAGGTCTTTTTCTTCTTCGTTGCCACTGCATAGTCTTAGGAATAACCTAGAATCGACGCAACACCGAAAACAAAACATTTCTTACCGGCTCTCTGTCACCGACTACCCGCGAATCCACCTGTCAAAACTGGCGGCGAGAAACGCGAAAATACGCATGCGCAGAAGATCCTTCAGACCGATTCCCGTTAAAACCTGTATAATCAATCTTAAAACACGTAAATGAGGTATAAAAACATTAATAAAGGTGTTTGAAAGCATAAATATGGAACGGCAGACACTGATGATTAGCAAAATATCCTTTTCACAATCGCGCAGCAATACATGCACTAGTCTGAACAGCACAGTAATCGGTTCTGCGTCCAGTCCAATGTTTACTTTCGTCATGAAAAAATGATGATGGACTTAAGCAAAATTAGGCCCTCACCTCTGTTCATTTACGTATAGCACCTTTGGGAAGCATTTGCACAAATATTGCCATAGAAGAAAAGTGTCTTGGTTTGTATCGGTCTATCGATTTATATAGGTTTTATCTCCCAACTTAGGCACTACCTTATACTGCATATTGTCCAAAACAACTTTTGTTATCTGAACCGGTCATTGGCAATGGAAAAAGTCAACATGTTTACACATACTAGTGTTTATTGGATCAAAAGAAAATAATTGAAAGGTGGGATGGCTGTGTGAAACTGAAAAATTACCCCAATTTGCCATGGCCTCTATGCCTTAAGCACTCCAAGTATAGGACAACAAACTTCCTTAGAATATATTCCTGAGATAAATCTTGCAAACCACACTGGTGACATTCTGCCAAATATGGAACCAGGCCAAGTTCTAAGCTATGTGGCAGTTTCTTGTTCTTTGCCTGAGTACTGAAGGCATGGATGTCATAATAATCATAGTACTTTGCCCCAATCGGATTGCTATCCTAGTTAGTGTTGCGGACCTGGGCGGTATACATTGCAATCTACCAATATTAAATTACATAATATCTGCAACTCTTATGCAGGTTTATTTCAGTTTGTTTGGAAACAATTTAGATTCTCTTGAAACTATTCTGGGTAAGCAACTTAGTTGAAATACATGGAACTGATGCAATATTTTGAGCAATAATAGGTATACCTTGACATCATCACAAAATTTTGTCAAATACTGAAAGCTACAACACGAAAGTAAATAACATAAAAGATCTTAGGTGAAGGATTTGTAATGAACTGTTTTCTAAGAAAATATTAGCCTGAAATCCGCCTCCAAAATACAATTTTTATTATCGAGAAAAAAAAACGATAAATGATACCTTTTCACTCATTTCCAGATATT